CTTCGACGACGTCGTCGTCATCATCATCACCATCATCAGCATCATCACCACCACCATCATCGGCATCATCAGCAGCGTCATCATCATCATCGCCATCATCAGTATCATCAACCATCATCATCATCACCAACAGCATCATCATCATCATCATCATCATCATCATCATCAACGTCATCATCACCACCATCTTCATCACAATCATCATCATCATCATCATCGTCCTCAGCGTCCGCATCATCCTCATCATCATCACCATCATCGGCATCGTCATCGTCACCATCACCATCATAATCATCATCAACAACATCATCATGATCATGACCATGAATCATCATCGTCATGAAAAATCATCGTCACCGTCATCATCCGCATCATCGTCATCATCATCAACAGCACCATCAATCCTCATCATCGTCGTCGTCGGCGTCATCACCATCACCATCATCAGCATCATCATCACCATCACCATCACCACCACCAATCATCACCAGTACACTCACCATCATCATCATCATCGGCAAAACATCATCGACATCATCACCACCATCACCACCACACCCACCATCATCATCATAACCACCATCATCATCACCACCATCATCATCAGTCTCATCATCGTCATCATCATCGTTGTCGTAGTCGTCGTCACCGTCGTCACCATCATCGTCAGTATTATGAACGTCCTCAGCATCATCATAATCATCATCACCATCACCACCACCACCACCACCACCACCACACATCGTCACCACCACCATCACAAACAGCATCATCGTCATCAAATTATCATCGTCATCACCACCATCACCACCATCACCATCATCACCACACTTATCATCATCGTCGTCGTCACCATCATCATCACCATCACCACCATCGTCAACCACCGAACATCACCCCCGCCATCACCATCACCATCGTCTAACCATCATCAAATCATCATCGTCATCACCACCAACATTACCATCGTCACCACCACCACCCCCACCACCACCAGCACAACAGTCTCCGTCATCATCACAAACGCCACAATCATCATCATCATCATCATCACCACCATGATCGTCGTTATCACCATGATCATCATCATCATCATCACCATCGCAACCACCACCACCAACGATCACCACCACCATCACCATCACCATCAGAACATCATCGTCATCACCACCACCACCACCATCATCACCACCAACCCCATCACCACCACCACCAACATCATCATCATCATCATCATCATCATCATCATCATCATCGTCATCATCATCATCATTGTCATCATCACCGTCACAACCATCATCACCAGCACCCCCACAACAACCACCAGCATCATCACCACCACCCCCACCACCACCACCACCACCAACAACACCATCATCATACCATCACCACCATCATCACCACCATCATCATCGTCGCCGTGTCGTCGTTACCATCATCATCATCATCATCATCATCATCATCATCATCATCATCCTCATCCTCTTTATCATCATCATCTTCATCATCATCATTATCATCATCATCATCATCAGTACCATCATCGTCATTTTCATGATCATCACCACCACCACAGCCAATCATCATCACCACCACCCCCACAACTACCACCAGCATCATCACCACCACCAATCGTCACCACCACCACCACCATCATCATCATCATCATCACCACCATCATCACCACCATCATCGTCGTCGTGTCGTCGTTACCATCATCGTGATCACCATCACCACAACCACCAAACATCACCACCACCATCACCATCACCATCGCCATCATCATCATCATCATCATCATCATCATCATCATCATCATCATCATCATGATCATCACATCATCGTCATCACCAGCAGCATTGCCATCATCATCACCATCGCCCCACCACAATCAGCACCACAATCCTCATCATCACCATCACAAACACCACAATCATCATCACCACCATCACCATTATCATCATCATCATCATCATCATCATCATCATCATCATCATCATCATCATCACCATCACCACCACCACTACCAACGATCACCTCACCCATCACCGTCATCATCATCAAATCGTCATCGTTACAACCACCACCAACCCCACCACCGCCACCACCACCATCATCATCATCATCATCATCATCATCATCACCGTCACCACCATGATCATCATCATCGAATCATCATCATCATCATCACCACCACCACCATCATCACCACCCCCACCGACCCCACCACCACCACCATCATCATCATCAGAATCACCATCACCCTTATCTTCCCCACCATCACCAGAATCATCATCATCACCATCAATCATCATCATCATCATCAACAACAACATCATCGTCATCGTCGTCGTAACCAGCATCATTAGCATCATCATCAGCAGCAGCATCATCACCACCGTCTCCCACCCATCGTCACCACTATCATCACCATCATTATCGCCAAATCATCATCACCATAATCATCATCATCAGCATCAATATCATAATGAGCATCAGCACACTATCATCAACTCGCTATCACCATGACAATCACCATCACCATTATCATCATTATCATCACCACCACCACCATCATCATCATCATCGCCACCACCCCCACCACCACCAACAACATCATCATCATCAGCATCATCAGCATCATCATCATCATCCTCATCCTCATCATCATCATCATCATCATCATCATCATCATCATCATCATCATCATCATCATCATCGCCATGATCATTATCATCATCATCACCACAACCTCCTGCTCCTCGCGCTCTTCGTCATTCTCCTGCCACTCCTCAACCTCTGCCCACGACGGTGACGACGGCGGCTCCCCGCCTGCTCCGCCGCAGGCACCCGCCGCGAGCAGCCCAGGCGGCGGTGCGACGATCTCCCCGCGGCTGATGCAGTTCAGCAGCCAGCTGGCCGGCAGCTCCTTCGGGGACCCAAGCATCCAACGTCCAGCGCATGGAAAAAGCCCGCAAACTTTTGATTGCCGTGTTCGGCCTCGAGAGGCCCTTGCCAGGCCGCGGGGCCGTCCAACGTCGGATCGGGATGAAAGACGGTCTTCTGCGACCTGTAAGTATCGAAAAAATACAGACATCCGATCTCTGAGGACAGACCGTGCGGTGACCTCGACCGGTCAGTCGCTGCACGGCTCCTGGAGCCTCGGAGGCCCAGGTCGCCCGAGACGTCCTCGGAGCACGGCCCGAGCTCCACGGGCGGTGCCCCCGCATCCCCAGAGACTCGCCACGTGGTGCGACCACCGCACCGTTGGGCGCCCCCCCAAGCTCCAGCCAGCCGGCCCGCTCCGCCTCGCCGGGCTCCCCGCCTCCACCGCCGCGGCCGCGGCGCCGCTCGCCGGGCGCGGTCATCTCCGGGACCACGGAGATAGGGCGCCGCCACCACGGCCACGGCTGCCCGCCGACGGCGCGCACCGGGGGGAGGAGGAGGAGGAGGACGAGGAGGAGGAGGAGGAGGAGGAGGAGGAGGAGATGGGGGAGGAGGAGGAGGAGGGGAAGGAGGAGGAGGAGGAGGAGGAGGAGGAGGGGGAGAGGAGGTGAGGGAGTAGGAAGCGGACGAGGAGGAGCAGAAAGAGGAGGAGGACAGGAGGAGGAGGACAGGAAGAGTAGGAGGACTGCACGCTCTGGGCGTGGCCCTTTGCTCTTTGTCCGCCCTGGCGGACCTGCTTGGACCGGTCTGCGCCTGCGGCGCGACCCGCGGAGGCAAAAAGAGGAGGAGGAGGAGGAGGAGGAGGAGGAGGAGAGGAGGAGGAGGAGGAGCGAGGAACAGGAGGAGAAGGAGGAGCAAGAGGAGGAGGAGGAAGAGGAGGAGGAGGAGGAGAAGAGGAGGAGGAGGCCTCCCGCGCGCCCGGGCCCAGGTGCGGCGGGTCCCCGCCGTCGGGCAGCTCCCGCACCTCCGCAAAGACCTCCGCGCCGCCGCGCCGCGCGAGGCGCTGCAGGTCGTGCGGCTGTGGCCCCTCCGCGGCCGCTCCGGCCGCCGCCGCCCGGCTGCCCGGAGGCTCTCGCCGCCGGGGAAGCGCGGGCGGCCTGCCCGCCCCGGCGAAGTGCAGCCGCAGGCCCGCCAGCAGCTGCGGCCCGCAGAGCCGGCCGCGGGCAGGGCCGCCTGAACCGGCGGAGTCGCCCGCGATCTCGAAGTCGGCCTCGGGCAGCCAGCGCCCCGCCTCCGAGGACTCGAGGACCCAGCCGGGCGACAGAACCCAGGAGCCCGCGAGGATGGCCTCGCAGTACTTGATCGTCCGGCACGCGGCCCTGCGCCACGGCGGCGCGGCGCCGCCAGCCTCTAGACACCAATCGGCGGCGGCGGCTGCGTCACTGCCGCGAGCGGACGGGTCGCCCTCGCACCGCGCGACCACGCGCACAGCCCTGGCCTCCACGCGCGGCTGGCGCGCCTCGTGACGCGCGTCCGGCGGCAGGTCCCGCAGGACGACGCCGCGGAGGCGGCTGACGCAGCGGCGAAAGCGCGACAAGTCGTCCCGGCTGAAGCCGGTAAAAAGCACCACGACAGGGGGCTGGTCAGTGAGCGACATCGGCAGGGCCGAGGGCGCGCTGACCAGGCGCACAGCATTCTCCGTGCCGTCCGCGCCCTCGGCGGGGTCCAGCGCGACGATGGCGCCGCCTGGTAGGTCTTCGCCGCCCGCCTCGTCCGCGTCCTCGTCCGCGACAACTATGACACCGCTGGCGCGGAACGCCTCGACGCCGCACCTCGCTGGCCGTCCGCTGGTGGTCGCGCCGCTGCGGCCTCCGCCGGTCGCGGCTGGCACCGCGGCCACGTCGGGCCCCAGGGCGGCGGCCGCCGCCGCGGCGGGCGGAGCGCCGCCGTCGGCGCAGCTCTGTGTGCACGTCTCGATGGCGTCGCTGTCGGGGGGCGCCCTCGTCCCGGGCAGTAGCCCGCAGCCCGCCAGGGCGCGGCGCCTCTTCGTCGGCCCTGGGCCCTCGCGCGGCGCCGATGCGCGGCCCGCAACGTCGGCAATGGCCTCTGGCTCTGGCTCCGCCCTCTTGGACGGCGAGGCTCGCGAGGACGCGCGTGCGGGCTCGTGTTGCCCGCCCTGCGGCGAACGGAGCGGGTCGCAGGCCGCCTCTGGCTCTGGGGCGCCCAGCGGCAGATGCTGCCGCGCCCGCCCAGGCCAGGGCGCGCCCTGCGGGGGCGGGGAGACGTCCTGGCCGCGGTCGATCAGGCCAGCGCAGGCCGCGGCCGCGAGCGCGGGCACCTGCGTGGACGGCGCCTCGCGGTCGGCGTTGGGCAGCGGCGGCGCTGGGAGCGGCACAGCCGCGGACGGCGGCGGCGCTGGAAGCAGCATGTCCGCAGGGGTCAGCGGGGCCTCCAGGCGCGCGAGCGCGTCCGAGAACGACTTGGCGTGCCCAAGGAGCGGTGGAGGCGGCCTCTCCGCCACCGGCAGCGGCTGCTCCACGCCTGCGGGCTGCTCCACCGCCACCAGCGGCTGCTCGTCCGCCAGGCCGAGTCCCCCCTCCTGCGATATCAATACGATGGCCTCGCACTCGCTGCCCGCGTCTGGCAGCACGCCGACGTCGGCCTTCCCAGGACTCTCGAACCTCGGCGAGCGCCCGGAGCACAAGAAGGACGCGATGCCGGCCGTGTCCTCCGCCCAGTTCAGCCGCCCGACCGAGACGCCCCTGGACAGCGCGACCTCCCACGGCTCCTCGGGGATCCGGGACAGCAGCGCAGGCACTGTGTTCGGCGTGGGCGACGCCGCCACCAGCGCCAGGTCCGCCGGGGCGCCCCTGTCTGGGCTGCCGGGCGGGGGCGCACATGGCCCCGCGGCGGCCTCCGCGGCGAGGGCGGCCTCTCCGCGGGCCGCCACCAGCGCCTGGCCCGCCAGCGGGGCGTCCCCGCCTGGGCTGCCAGGCGCGGGCGCGGGGGACCCGGCGGCGGCCTCCGCCACAGGGGCGACCTCTCCGCGGGCCTGCTGCCACTCCGCGCCCGCCGTGGCCAGCTCGGCCACCCGCCTGCCCGGCACCGTGCACGGCGTGGGCGCGGCGGTGGGGGGCACCGCGTGGCCCAGCGGCTCGCAGCGGCCTGTCGCGCTGCTCGGGGCGTCCGACGCCAGCGAGCACACGCTGAGGCTCGCGGCCGCCATGGCCTCGTCCAGGGCGACGATCGTGCCGTTCACGGCGTCCAGCTGCTCCAGGATGCGGTGCACCTCCAGGGTGTCTGGGAGCGGCTCTGGCACTGGGGCCAGCACCGCCGCCGCCTCCCACCCGCCGCGCGCCGGAGGCTGCCTGCCCACGCCGCCCTGGCCCGCCTCCGCCAAGCGCTGGCGCAGCGAGCCCACCTCAGGAGGGCGCCAGCTGCACGACTGTACTTTTATCAGAAAGAATTCCGAGCACCAAGGAAGCACCGAACCTTGAGGGTTTTCACGTGTCGGGCCCTGAGAGGCGATACTCGTTCGGCACTGCTTCTATGCTTTTCTGGGTGCTCGGAACTATTTCTGGGATGTGGTCCGTAGGAACGATGGGAGCAACATAAGCCTATACCCCGATCCAGGCCAGACCCATCCTGGGCCCAGGATCAATGTCTACGCCCTCCTGGCTCGGCCTGGATGGGATCGGCGTGGGCGTGTAAGCTCTGGAACCCCAGAGGTCTGGACCTCTGGAACCCCAGAGCTCTGGAACCCCCAGAAATCTGTGCCCCCAGAGGTCTGGACCTCTGAACCCCAGAGGTCTGGACCCCATCCCCCAGGGGTCTGCACCCCATCTCCGCCATACTTGTTCGCATCGTTCGGGGTGCATGGCCGACGCCACTAGAAGTCGGCAAAGACCAACCACGGTGCGCTGGATCCGAGATTGGGACAGGCCCCCGATCGGCCCAGGCAGGACCTCTGTGGGTTTGCGGGTGGCGCCCTCACTCACCCTGGGCTTATGTTGCTCCCATCGTACTTAAGGACCACATCCCAGCAGTAGTTCCGAGCACCCAGACAGGCATCGAAGCAGTGTCGAACAAGTATCGCCTCCCAGGGCCCGGCACGGAAAAACACTCAAGCTTCGGTCCTGGTCTTGGTGCTCGACATTCTTTCTGGTGATCAAGGCTGAAGTAGGCCGAGGATCGGCCTGGCCAGGATCTGGGGGGACGATGAGGTGCCGACACCGCCACTCCCCAAACCTCTCCTGAGGCGCGCTCTGACCAGAACCTCAAGGAGAACCCGGCCGCGGCGACCAGGGCTCTCCGGGACGAGCAGCGGCGTGGGCCTCCGAGCCTCCCCCGAGGATCGGGGGTGCGTGCGTGCTTGGCCACCCCCGGCAAGGTGCGTGCGCCTCCGAGCCTCCCCTGAGTCGGCTGCACGCAAGAGTGACCCTGGGTAAGAGTGACCTTTAGTGCGCGGCTTCTTGGGGGCCGCGGGGGGACCAAACACGAGCGCGCAAGACGCTAACCCACCGCATCGCGCTCGGCGATCGGGGGACCCCATTTGGCCCGCACCAAAGGTCACTCCGGCGAAAGGTCACTCTCACCCAGAGATCCGACGTCGTGATTTTTTCGATACGGGGTCCCCAGAAGTCTCGACCCATTCCCCAGGACCGGTTTCCGATCCTGCGTCGTTCTTTGACAGCCCCGGGGCTCGGCGAGGGCCCCTCGAGGCCGAAAGCTACGAGAAACCTCCGCCTTCATGTCTTCAATGCCTTGGAGCTCTGGGCACGTCCACGGCCGACTGAGGATCGGCGCCTTCACTTTTGCAATGCCTTGGACCTCTGGGCACGTCTGGCCGACCGAGGAAGGGCGTGCGTGCGTTCCTGGCGACCCCCCTAGGGCGACGAGATCTATGCATATCCACTGATCCTGGCCAGGCCAATCCTGGGCCCAGGAGCGGTGTGTACGCCCTCCTGGCCTGGCCAGGGAGGCATATACACAGCTCCTGGGCCCAGGATGGGCCTGGCCAGGAGCAGTGGATATGCATAGATCTCGTCGCCCTACCCCCGGGGGCACCTCCCCCGCCACGCGCAGCGCGTGGGCCCGCAGGTGCAGCGCCTCCGGCGGCGGCAGCGCGGCGCGGCCCGCCTCCGGCAGCAGCGCGGCGCCCAGGCTCCGCAGCACGCCCGCGAGGCGCTCGCACTCGCCGGCGGCGCCGCGCAGGTCCGCGCTGCCCATCGGCGCGCGCGCGGGCGCGAGGGGCCGAGGGAGGAGGGGGCGACGAGGAGGGGAGGGAGCGACGAGGAGGAGAGGGCGACGAGGAGGGGGAGGCGACGAGGAGGAGGCGGAGCGACGAGGAGGAGGGGGCGCCGAGGAGGAGGGGGCGGCGAGGAGGGCGGGAGCGGCGAGGAGGGCGAGGTCGCGCTCGGCCGCTCCCGCTGCCGCTCCGCGGTGCTCCAGCCTCGGGGTGCGCTCCGGCCGCCGCGGCGGCTGCCCGCGCGGCTGCCCGTCGGGGCGCGCGCGCGAGATGGGTTCGGGGAGGCAGCGGCGAAGAGGAAGGACGACGAGGAGGAAGCACGACGAGGAGGAAGGACGCCGAGGTCGCTTTGGAGGTCCCCGGAAGCCTCCAGGGGGGCCGTGGAGGTCCACGCTGTCCATCAGGGCGCGCGCGCGCACGATGTGTCGAGGAGGGGGGGCGGTGGAGGGGAGCGACCACTGGCCATCGCTCAGACGTTCATTCCCTGTTTTTGTTGGGGTTTCGTGCGGGGCTTTTTCGCAGAATGATCCAGGATGCTCCTCGATAATCCCCGCCGAGAAAAAGTGCACACGTCCGAGCGATGCCAAGACTAGGAGGAAGGACGACGAGGTCGCTTTCGGACGTTTTCGTAGGTTCCCAGCAGTTTTCCAGCCTCGGAGTGCGCTCCGGCAGCTGCGCCTCGCCGAGCGGGCTCCTCGAGGTCCCAGACCGCCCCGAAGAGCCGCAAGAGAGCCAAATAGGCGCACGATAGGTCGAGGAGGGGGACGAGGAGGAAGAACGACGAGGAGAAAGGACGCGGAGGTCGCTCTGGAGGTCCCCCGGGACCTCCACGGGGCCTCTGGGGGGCCGGAGGCGCCGCGCAAGTCCGCGCTGCTCATTGGGGCGCGCGCGCGCACACGCGCGCGCGATGTGTCGAGGAGGGGAGCGACGAGGGGGAGGGGGGAAGGGGGGGAGAGGACGGGTACGGGACGGGGGAGGGGGAGGGGGAGGAAACGGGGGAGGGGGTGACCAAGCTAGATGCGCAAGCCTCTTATTTGACGTCCTACCTCTCCCTCCCATCCCTTACCATGGCGTATATGCTCTCTCTATTCGCAAATGGGATGTCGAGCAGGCGAATGACCCCGAGAGCGTACGAGATGCACAGTAGAGTACGGCGTAGCACTGCGTAGAAGAGGACGGCAGAGCGTGACGTGTTCGGAGGAAAACCAGACATGACGCAAATTGAAACATTTAGATAAACCGTTCGGAAAGAGCAGAAGCGTAAAATGATAGCCAACGCTGTAGCGGGAGCACGATTTGGAAGATCCGCGACAAAGAAATGAGGTCAGCGCAGCAGCGGCAGTAAAATATGAAAAGACTGAGAGCCAGAATGCTGTAGCGAGAGCGCCATTCGGAAAACACTGGCAAGGTTCAGATTGGAAGAACACATCCGATCGATCACCCTGTGGGGATCCTAGGAGCAAAAAAACAGTGCGTGGAGCGTCGGAAAGCCGCCGAGGGGGCGAGAGCGCCAACGCCCTCCAAGATCTCGAGGAAGATCCATCAATTTTGCCTCTGTGGGCCCTCTTGGGAGGCGGGGGGGGCAGGAGAGCCCAGAATCGAATCGACAAGTTGGATCGGCAATCGAAATGAATCGGATCGGCGGAAATCGGCAGCCGGGTCGGGAAAAGTCGAATCGACAGAAATCGGCAGGCTAGAAACCGGAGCCCAAATCGGAAGCCCAGGTCGAATCGAATCGGAATCGGAATCCATCGAAGTCGAATCGAATCGAATCGGAGGAATCGAAACGAGCCCTGGCCCGGGGGGGGGGGGGGGGGGGGGGGGGCGGAGGGAGAGTGCCGCGCGCCGCGGCGCCCGACGGGGGCGCCCTGAGTCCGGGCCGGAGGGGCGCGGCGCGGCCCCCCGTCGGCCGGGGGCGGGGGGGGGCAGCACGGCGTGGCGGCCATGCCGAGCCTGGCCCATCCCAGGCCCAGGCTCGGGGAATACTGAAGGGGCCCTGGGACACACAAATAAAAGCACACAAAGGAAAGGATTCCCCATATTTTCCCATATTTTCTGGGTTTCTGTCTTCCCCCCCACTGCCCATATTTTCCTATATTTTCTGTGGGATCGACGATTAATTGTGTCTGTGTGTTTTTTCCCCTCCTGAAATGCAATTTTTTTGCAACGTCGGACCTCAGGGAATACGTCCCGCATCGGTTCCACGCAAGAGTGGCCCCGGGCACGAGTGGCCCTCGGTGCGCGACTCTCGGGAGCCACGGGGAGGCCCAAGTCGAGCACGCAGGGGCGCAGCTGTCGCATCGCGCTCCATCACCTGGGGGCCCCAGCGTGCCCGCACCACAGGTCACTCTGGCGAAAGGGCACTCTTACATGTAGCCGACTCCTGGCTCGGCCAGGAAGGCACTTAGACGGACCCTGGACTCAGGGCGGGCCTGGCCAGAATCGGTCTGTGTGTATAGTGGGCGCCCGCCGACCGATCACACGTGGGAACGGCCGGCGCTTGGGGGAGGCAGCACGACATGGCAACGATGCATGACGTTCGGGTGCTGCCGAAGGTGTCCCTGGCGCAAAGTGTCTCCAGGATTTCCGGGGAGGCCCGGTTGCTCCCAGAGCACTGCCCACGACAGGCCCCGAGGGCCCCGAGGGCTCCACGCTGGCGGGAAAGCTGGAGATGCCTCGGAGCAAGACCACCTTCAGCAACACGCCGCAACGCGGCGACGATGCCAAGTCGCCGCGTTCCGATCACACATGGGAGGAGGAGGAGGAGGAGGAGGAGGAGGAGGAGGAGGAAAAGGGAAAGGAAAAGGAAGGGAGAGGAGGAGGAGGACGAGGAGGAGAAGGAGGAGGAAAATGGAGGGAGAGGGGGGCACAAAAAGGGGCAGAGGGCGCGCTCATGCCCGTGCCTCGCCCGCGCAGGGTGCGCGCGGGAAGCGCACGCTTGGCGTCGGCCGCGCCCGGGGCCTCGGAAGCGGGGCCGAAAGCGGGGCGCTCCCACAAAGCGCGCACTGCAGCATACCTAGAAGAAGAAAAATCCACTGCAGCATACCTACAGGGAGGGACTGGCATGGGGGGGGACGTATCGACATGGAATCGGCGATACATCGCCGATAGATCGGCGATACGCCGCCGACCATGAATCCGCACCTTCCTGGGCAGGTTGGGGCTATGGGGCCCCTATCGGCGATCAATTGGCGATTGGGGGTCGATGCATAGAAGAAGAAAAATCCACATGAACACAAGCTTTTGCCGCTCCGCGCAGATTTCTTGGATTCGCGCTGGACCCCCCTCACTGGCGCGCGGAGCGCGCCAGGAGCGGCGCCGGAGACGCCGCCGGGGGGCCCGGGCGCGGATCCAAGAAATCCGCGCGGAGCGCCAAAAGTTTATGTTTATGTGGATTCATCTTCGAATACCGAGGACGACTGAGATCGGCCGACGACACGAGTGCACCAAAGTACGATGTCGCTGGACGCTAGGTCGCCTGAGGGGGGGGAGGAGGAGGAGGAGGAGGAGGAGGAGGAGGAGGAGGAGGAGGAGGAGGAGGAGGAGGAGGAGGAGGAGGCAAGGGAGGAGGACGAGGAGGCCGACGACACGTGTCCACCATGGGACAGCGGACATCGGACCTGCAGCTGTCGCCCACAGAGGCGTCGGAGGTCGGCGGTAAATCCATACGCGCGCATGCTCACGGCATCCAGTGAAACTAGCGCGCACGTACGATGTCGCTGGACGCTGGGTCGCCTGTCCGCTCAGCCGCGCTGTCTGGTGTAAGCTTGCTGTCCACGGTGGGCGGGAGAGAGGAGGAGGAGGAGGAGGAGGAGGAGGAGGAGGAGGAGGAGGAGGAGGAGGAGGAGGAGGAGGAGGGAGAGGAGGAGGCAAGGGAGGAGGACGAGGAGGAGGAACCGATTGAGTGCAAGACTCACCCGAACCATACGCGAGGTGATGCACGTGACGCAAACTATCACCGGACGCGGGAGGCCATACGGTGTCCCTTCCCCTTATGGTGCCTGACCCCTGTGAAGGTGCAACCGCGCCTGGTGCCCCTCTGTGCCCACCCCGTCCCGCAACATGGAATTCGCAGCCGGGACACATGTCGGTTTCCCGGTAGGCTTCGCCCGCGGTCGGCTTCGCCAGATCTTGGCGGCGCGCACAGGGGGGTGGAGGGAGGGGGGAGGGCTTCTTAGAAGGAGGCTGCTTCTTAGGAGGCGCCGGCCTTACATCTACAGATAAGACCCGCGCCTTGAAAGAAGCAGGGGTGCTTCTAAGAAGCCTTCCCCCCTCCCCCCACCCCCCTCTGCGCGTGGCTGAACCTCGGCTCTCCCTTCGGCTCGCCCCGCGGGTCGGCCTCGCCCAGGTCGGCTTCGCCCAAGGTGGCCTTCGCCTGACTTCGCCCCGGGGTCGGCTTCGCCCCGGTGGAGCGGGCGGGCAGGACACGAAAGCGGGCGGGCTGGCCTGCTGCTGCGCGCGCGAGCGGGCCCCTCCCCGGCGCGTCGGGCGGGCAAGACCCTCACGGGCGGGCCCGGCGGGCAGGGCCCGGACGGACGGGTCGGGCGGGCGGGACCCCAACGGGCGAGGCGGGCGGGCGGGGCCCCAACGGGCGGGTCGGGCAGGCAGGCGGGTCGGGCGGACGGGACCCGAATGGCCGGGTCGGGCCGGCGAGATCTGACGGGCGGGCCGGGCGGGCGGGATGCCGAACGGCGGCGGCCACGGGCGAAACCGACGGGGGCGAGGCCGAACGCGGGCGAGGCCGAGCGCGGGCGGAGCAGCCCCAGGGGAAACAGACCCGGGCGCCAAGGCGGAACCGGTCCGGTAGGGGGCCACATGCGAACCCTACCCCTACCCCCCACGATTTCTGAGGGGGAGGGCGGGGTTCACTT